TACACCATATTGAGAGAGGCTACTTCAGAAGCTCGGATCAATATTAAGAAATTATAAATTATAAATACCACCTAGTATAGAGCCAAGTGGCTCTATACGCTTTCCTTTTTAAGGAAAGAAAATAAAAAATATAAAGGGGAAAAGTTCCCATTATTTCTGCAACAAAGGTTCTTTTAAAATATGAAATATATTAGTTCTTAAAAGGAAAAAAATAGGAAGCTAAAAAGAATGGGTATTTCTTAATCTTAAAAAAAACATAAATAATGTGTACTTTACAAATATTTGAGGTCTTTATAAATTTTTCAAGTCTCAAGTCACCCCACCACCCCAGTTGTAGGATTTACTAATTCAAAAGACACGCATCAGTATTTTGCAATCCTTTCTGCATACAACTACCTTTGCTTTTTAATTCAACATCAAGGTTTCTATTATAATCTTTGTTTATTGATGATGAGTTAGAACAACCATTGGTTGTTACTACTTTGAACTGGGTCTCCTGGAGTCAACACTTCATTTACAAAGTATTTGAAAATTATCCAACTGTCAAAATTCACGAGATAATACATTTTTCCTAATGGCATAGCTTGGAAAAATACACCCAGCAATGGTACCATGTGAAATTAAACTATAAAAGTAATTAGGGTAGACTACATGATTTACTACTGCATATCAGAATCTAGAAAATCATAGTTAAATAAACTAATATATTTAAAAATAATCTACAATGACTTATTTTCTATCCTATGACATTTATACAACACATCAAGATGATGTCTGAAAACTAAGCAATATTTTGAGTTTCCCCGAGAATGCCAATAACTGGTCTGAGTCTTCTCTAACTAAATTGACTATTTACCCAATGTATTTTTAACATGGATTTGTCGCTACATAAACACAACCTAAATCTTAAATGAGGCAATCCTAAATAAAAAATGAGGCAAAAATGAAGCTATTTTCTATTTTGGGAATTATAACATTGTATGTGAAAAAAGCATTACACACATTCAAAAACCATATAGACTTCTATGAACTTTTGTGGGAAGTTATAATTTGATCAATAAAGATATTTAGAAACATAGGGTAAAAAAGGAAAGTTTAAAAATGTTCACCTTCAATTTATTTCATAGGTCACTGTTATACCATCTAATAAGATAATTAAAAACATGCAAGCAGCTGGTACTACAGCTAAACAGATTAATGTAATAGTCTGTAGTCATATGTGCTGGCAAGGGGCTCGCCTCTTTGGAGAGGAGAAGGTCAGCTGCCCTTGGGAAAGGAGGAGCGCGGTCGGGAGAGAATATTCCTTCTACCATGTGGCCCTGTGCTACAGTCACTAACTTAATCATCTACTGCAAACTGCTAATCGGCAAACTACTATTCTTCTTTCATACCCAGCAAGGGTCTCTCAGTTTTCATGTTTAAATAAGAAATACAGAAAGCTCATATAATCTGACTGAGAACACTGGACTTTAAAAAGCTTAAGAACTATTGCATAAACCAATAATATCTTCTCAATTCTTATAAATTTTCCATTTTAACACATCATCTGCAAATTAGTTGGGAAACATATAATTGAATTTTAACAAGAAGTTCTAGAACAAGATCTAATCTATACCTAGGCACCATATAATATTCATACTGGTGCCTGAGGAGTTAAATTCAGCTGCAGTCCATTTGAATCAATGGAGCAAAACCACAAAAGACACAAATCCAAGTAAAACTTCCCAGCCTACGAAAAACAAATCTATGAACATTAGGTACACAGAACTAGCGTGTTAGGATCTGATCGATTGTAAACTTCAGAATTTGTGAAAATTCCAAAATTCCACCTCTGAACTTATACAGAGAGTAAAACCTCTTCCTTTTATCATTGCTATGTGTACAGATTTGCTATAGGAAGACAACCGGGAATACTGTATCAGCTTGAGAGTTTCAAGCGTCAGGTTAAGCTTGTTCTTAGCTCCTTTTCTGCTAACAGACAAAAGATACTGTCCTGTAAGTCACACATTCCTTTTTACCTTCTTTTTAGTGTCTCTGTATCAGGGCACTGTAAAAAATTCTAAATACCAGAAGGTTACCAATGATGACAATGATGATGATGCCACAGACAAGAAGACAAAAACAGCTACTATTTACTCAGCATTTACCACATGACACTATCCCATCAACTCCTAACAAGTGTGTTTTTTCCTAACCCCACTCTAATGGTGAGGAAACTGAGGCTAAGACTTGTACAAGTTTCCCAAGTATTTGGAGTCAGGATCTGAACCACCTCACCATATATTTACGTATTATTAACAAATGAAAAACAAAACAACAATCAGTGACTCTATCCTCTTGAAAGTGACAATCTAAGTCCACAATAAGACAAACACATTAATGGGAAGAGTACAGACTTAGGTGACCAATTCAAGACTGAATTCAAAAGTTAACACAACCTCCACGTTCGCTATAAAAGGGTACACATGTTGGAGGGTGAAGTCAAGGCTAAGGCAACAAAGTTGCCAATTTATATGAAAGAATTAATTCCAGAAAGAATTAATAAATGCCATGGCTTTGCATTTGGATTTTCAAACAGCTTTATCTTCTACATTTTATCTCAGTCTTTACAAGAGTTGTGAGGAGGAAGCAGGTTAGACCTTAGAATGTCTGTCTTATAAGATGACGAATGAAGGCTAACCATTACCCTGGACACAAGTATATTGAGCTTGGGTGTGATGGTCCTACGCTGGCAGCCAGAACTGTCTGACTGTGAAGAAAAATCAGGATTTCTGAGACAGTTTAAGTAAGACAAAGGTAGAATTGTTAGGCTAAAGGATCTTTGAGGGTTAATATTCATGTTTTTCTAATAACTTATTTAAGTTTAAAACAGCAATGACAGCAACAGAAAAATAATTTTCATTTTCAAAAGGGAATTTTACTGACAATTCTGTTGCCATTTTAGTGTGATCATGCAACAATTCCTAGGTTTTATCAGTTAACCTTAATATGAAAATAGACCCCAGAGCTGTGCTTCTGTGAATTCTGCATTTAACCCAAGTGTCAAATTCACAAGTAAGCTCATTATATTTTAAGAGCTATTGCCTGCTGAGTAGAAAAATATTCATTTCACACCTTAAATACTATAATACTATTTAATAACAGCACTGGCCTGCCAACTATTAAAAGCTCGTTTTTATATATTGTACTACCTGAGCTTTTTATCTTGCCTTTTTAATTACAACAATAAATTAATATCCTAACATTACAACACTGACAGGCATTGATTAAAATCATATTAGTTAACAACATTAGTATTTATTGTGCAAAGTTGCATTAGGAGTTCATTTTCAAAGTACAATTATCATTCAATAATACTAAAATATTTTAATCTTCAAACTATTCAAGAATAAAATAAACTACAAGATAATACTGCGCCTTCACATTAACACATTTCTCTTAACTTTATATTATGTCCATTATTTACTATAATTAGCTAACCTACAAATGTAATTGTAAAATTTAACTCACCAACAAAATTTATACACATATGGATTTTCCTTCCTTTGAAATACATCTCCATTTTCCTTTTGTCTATTTTTTTATTGTATTTATATCTAGCAATGATACTAACATAGATTTCACATATATTATCATATTAACATTTCTCACTTACATGCCAAATCATGAATGTTTAACTATCTTTTATATTCATTTCAGCACTAAAAGAAGGATTTGAAGAATTCCAACATTTATAAAGTAGGATGAGTACGGTGAAAATATAATGACAACATATGAGCTTTACTGCTGTGATAATACCCTTCTAGAACGCCACGGGAACATAAGCCTTTTTGTAGTATCTTTGACACTTGAACGACTGATTATTTATACAGACCCCAACTGATATAAAATAAAGATGTCAAGTGTTTCAATTACCATCTCATTTCTGGAATTCATAAACAATTTGTAAAAAACTTTCCCATTTACCACATTCTTATTAAGTGCTTCCTGTATACAAGGCCCTATTCTAGATATTAAAAGCTTGCCCGGAATCTGAGAAAACAAATGACACAGTTCCAATTAGGGATATACAATATGTTTTCAAATAAAAATATAAAGATTCCAATCATAAACTCCGTATTTATTACATAAAAGGAGTTACAGCTTAACATTCAAGTGAGTTTCCAAGTGTACAGTGGTTCTTGTGTGAATTTTACTGTGTCACTGCAAAAGTGTCAGAACTAATTAACCATCACAACAATGCACTCAAAGTATTTCTTCAAGAACCTGCACTGCTATCTAAAATGCCAAAATGTATTATCATTGAATCTGTACCTTTTTTCCTTAAAAGAAAACAACCTTGTTCTTATATTATGTTGGTTAAGTATATGAATATTCAAATATTACTGGAAATAATATAATCTTTCTTCTTCCTAGGTTTCCCTATTATGAAGGTACAAAATCCATAAACATTTACTCAAGCAAATCAAGTTATAAGGAGAATATTACCAAAATACTAGAGAAGATACATGTTTTCTTAACCAGCATATCCTTTTTAAAAAAAATCACTAATTGAGATGTAACTGCCCTGTTTGCTGAAGAACCAAATGGGATATAAACAAATAGCACTTGATGTAACCATGGATTACATTTCATATTCTCTTAGATGCTCATAAGGAATATACTCTGTTTTAACAGGAAACTTAAACAAATGGAAGCCTTTAGTAGTGTAACAGATATACTGGGAAAACAAAATAAAAAATGGATTTTAATGGAGCATTCGTACCAACTATACACTAACAACTGATATCGACAATAAGACCATTTACTCAAGAACTTAAAAGGTTACATTGTTCATTACTCAGTAAGTCTGCAGAACAATCGCATATCACAACATTCTTTACATTTAACTTATTTTTAAAGCACAGGTAACCCTTACTACTCTAAGATTAGAATCCTGTAACATTAGGTATCTTGTATATTATCTTGTAATAATATGTATCTATGTATTCATCACCTACCTATAGGAATTAAAAGTCCCATCAGAATCTAAAGTAGAACTTCTTCTTCCATTTTTATTTGAATCTCCTGGAAAAAAAATTTAAAAACACTGAAATAATGAAGATTATGAAACTGAATATTTTAGTTGAAAAGCTGCTGTGTGACAGTTCTATACAGTATATTAGGTCCAAAAGCATTATCCCTTTTTCCCTACCCCCAAATATCTCCTGTAATCAGAGGTCTTTATGCAAAAAAATTCATTTTGATGCTAAAATATAAACAAATACCACCACTCCTAAATTGGATAGAAATAACTATCAAAATAATTGCTAACAGAACAAATGAAGCACAGTACATTTTCTTCTTATGAATCACAAACAAAACCAAAATTTATAAACCATTTAATCATATACTAGTATTTATAAACAAAGGGCAACTCTTTGTTAGTGACCAAGTCACCTGTTCTGACCACTGGTTCAGTCAAAAGAGAGCAACAGAAAGGGGACCTGGAATATTTTCCAGTTCACAGCTCTCCATGGTCGAGGAATTTGGTAAGCAGAGAGGTAAAAGAGAAGGCAGGTTGGGAGGTGGTGAATGCAATCTAACGAGCTTTTAATACACTTTAATATTCTTCCTAAAACTTTATGTTTTAACTGTGGGCAAAAGTTCAGCAGTTTTAAAAATGAAAAACAACATTGAAAGATATTTCTGCATCATATGGTAATACCAAACATTTAGAAAAAAAAAATCCCACTTAAGAAACTGTTATATTCATAGTATCAGACTTAGAACAAATTCATACCTATCAGTTTAAAGATTATAGAATAAAAATAAATGTGCTAAAGAAATTTAAAAAATGCTTACCAATGCCACAGTATAAAATATATATGCTTATTGATAGAAATTTAATTTTAGTAGTTTACATTTTAAAATATATACTTCAAAGTATAGTTTTTATGAAACCATAGTATACTACTATTAAATAGACCATTTATTCTTAGAAACAAATTAAAAAGACTAGATTCTGATTATATTTTATACTCCTAGTTCTTGTAATGTAACTTTCGAACATCAGGTTATATTCATTTTTCTGATATTTAAGCCTTAATAATTTAATGATTTATCCATTTTAATTTACACTTTTAATCCACTTTGAACAATCTAAGGTGCCACTGGAGATCATCACAGTGGTCCTGGTTAAGTCAAATAGTAATTACAGAGCTTTCACTTTAAAGATGAGATTATTTTTTAATTATTGAGTACAGTACTTAAGGTACCATACTTATATAATTATGCTACTCATTAAATGGTTATTGAAAGCTGAAATGTAATTTTAATGACAGCTACCTATTTTTCTTTTCACACTTTTTAGTTGACAGATTAGTCAAGAATATTGGTTCTTTTCAAAATCTTTACAGCTGTGCCAAAGTGTTCAGGAGGACAAAAACTGGACTGTGTCCACTTACTAACTTTTAACTCTATTCTTTTATCAAAATACACTTTCAGGTTTTTTTTTCTCATTAAAACAAAAATCCTAAAATGGATTATAGCATTCAAAACTATTGCCAAATTTTATAGAAGAAAATTATCCAAAATCACTTAAATGTTTAAGATCAATTTAGCTGGGTTTATTTCGTTAATTCTTAAAACACAGATACTATAAGATCACTCATACAACATATTTTCTTAAAAAATTAATGGTATTATAATAAATAAACTAAAAGGATTTAAAGAAAATTCTGTTTCTAACTAAATGAAAATTTCCTCCAACACATGTTATTTAACAGCTTGCAGACATTTCCTGTGAAACATTCCATAATCAGCATAAAATACGTACTATATCATACATTTAAAATATGAGCCTTCTTTCTCTTGAAAACTAAAGATTATAATTACTTAAACACATAAGATCTCACCAATAGAATATTTCTTCCTTTCTGCTGATATTTACCAGAGCGAATATAAAATCCTTCAAATAATTAAGAGACTTTCGGTTTTTTAAACTAGGTTTTGCCATCATAATATATTACAAAGGTTTTCTTCATCTTATACCGGTTTCAAAATGAGCATATCACATTAAATATAACCTTCAAAGGATGGGAATGAGGAAAAAGAGCAGTTTTTCTTTCTCGAAAACATACCAAAATAAGGAGTACAACTGTTTTTTCTAAACAATATTAGAGAAAACATTTCAAAGTTTGCTATATGGGGAAAAGGCAATAAAGTTTTGAAGCGGGAAAAACTGCTTTGTTCCTTCAATCCTCTGGTTGAAATTAATTATAGCAAATGTTTATGAAAACATCTGTTCCTTACAGTTATAAATTCTTAATTTTAGTATGGATGATTCCAGATTCTTATTCTGGAAGGAAGTTGTCTAACAATTGAAAGATTTACAAAAGAACAGACAGAATTTATAATTCTGGAAAACTGTATATATAGTGTGTATATCCTGCAGAGATTTTCATTTGTGTGAAACATTTGGAGGGGCTTGAAACTGGTAACTAGGAGAAATCAAAGAGAGGCTCCTCTTTAAGGTGTTATACATTAAAAACATATTTGTAATAGAAGGAAACATCAACCAAGAATTATAAATAAATGCTAATTTACTATGAATCTAATTTGAAGTAAGTATAATAAACTAAGTATTAATTTTATCAAGGATTTTAGTAAGTCTAATGCCAATACAATCATGGGAAGGTATGTGTAGTGTTCCCCAAAAATAACAACAGAGGGTGCAAGAGAGTTTAATATGATGTTTTTAGTTGCTGTTCTGATTCTTGTACTAAGTTGTCAGGTAGCCATAAATGTAACAAGGATGTATAGGTTGTTTTCAAATCTCTCTCTCCCTCTTCACCTCTTTCTCTCTCTCTCTCTCACACACACACAGCGCGCGCGCACGCTCATAAGTATATTATTACAGTAATCTTGCACAAAGACCTTTAAATGATCAGACAGCATAAATAACTTGAAATGTGTTTTAAGGTAACGGATTACCTTTCACTTGCTTGAAAAGTAACAATAAATTTTAAAAACACAATTGTGATTTTAAAAGTATTTCAATATTTAATATAAATTAACCAGTAAAATAATCTAGATATATTTATTGGGGAAATTTTACATAAGTTACATACATATTATATATGTTGCTATCTGCATGTATATTGTGCAACCTTTATTTACAGGACTAGTTCATTAATTATTGTGACAATTACAACGTGAAATTTACATAACAGATTAATTTCCCATCGGTAAATAACTTTGCAAAATGAATTCCTGGCACTCACAATTAAAAAAAGTTGACTGATTTGAAGAAAATACCCTTGCAGCCAAATTACTTTAAATGAGGATAGAAAGAGCATATATTTTCCATTAGTAATTTCTAACATACATGTATCTAACTTATTAAGCAAATAATATGTATAATGGTGACTTAAATCTCAAAACAAGACAAATTAAATTCCAGATTCTTTTTTAACTTTTACTGCAGTCATGTTTAGCTAAGGGCATTTATAATATCTATGTACTGTTGAAAATCATGCTAAATGAAGATTTACAATAGATTTCTATAGTTCTTTTTTTTTCTTACTATAGTTCTTTTTATGTACAAACATCTCCTTCATGAAGGTAGAACCAGAGATTTTAAGCTAGGTTAGGTTAAAAACTACCAGAATAATGCCATAAACAAACACATCTACTCAACTGGGCCCTCAGTTTACATCTAAAAAACATCAAGTTTTAGAAGATCACATCATACTATGTATGAATTCCAAAAAGTATTACATAATTTAAAAACTAAGGTTTATCTCTAAATTGTCAGGGAAATGTCTCCAAGTGTGTGCAATGAATATTCAATAGTAAGAGTGGAAAAAAGATCTGCTTTAAACTAAGCTGAAAACAAAGGTATGGATAGCTACATTTAGTTGTGATAGGATAATATGCCATAAATAGTGTAGAGACCTGAAACCTTTTGTTTCTTTTAAATGAACATTACTACTGAAATGTTTTTTATTAAATTTAAAATCCCCAAAGAAAATGATTCAAAAAAATCAATAAATTAAGTATATTCATGTGCTGTGACACACAGTAAGGCAAAGTATAATGACTCAGCATTGTCTATGAAGACAGTAGTCACTAAGGACATTATCTCAACAGAGAGACAATAGTCTCTCTAGGCTAATTTATTTATGCTAAAAATCCAGGACCACCCATTAGGTCTAAGACCCAGTGCTCAAGTAAATACACAAAAATTGTCTATTCAATAATATTCCATTTTCTCTATTATTAGCTACATTCTAATGATTTAATGGCTATACTTAATTCTCTACATAATATTTAGAAGTTATTATTTTATTTTTTATTTCCAAAAATGTTTATTAGCATGATTAAAAGTTTTTGAATAACGACAGAAAGAATTTCTAAACATGAAAGTGTCAGTGGCTCTACATTATAACAAAATATTTGTAAGTGAATGGACAGCTTTATTGCCAGTCTTTTATTAAAAACAATCCATATTTATTGGTTCCATGTGAAGCTATGACTATTGTTTGACTGGGAATGAGTCCTTCCTGCAATTAAGTATAAAAAATATCTTCCATAATTGGAGTGTGACCTGTATTACTGAGTAAAGAGTGGACAAAAATCCTCAAAGAGTTGGGTTTTTGTTTTTTAAAAACATTCCTTTTACACACTACAAAAATAATTAGTACTTTGGCTGTTTAAATCACTACATGATATTTACAGTGGCAGTCACCAAAGGTCCTCCCTTCACATAATCACAAACACAGACCCTCTTCTGGAGAGTACATTTTTGGGGTGGGCTCTGAATACTTGGGCCTCCAAGTGTTTATACTGGTTTAAACACAAAGCATTATCCAGAAAGTAGTAGTTATTATACACATCACCTTCACACAGGTATGGCAGTCTGGTGAAAGCTTTGGTAACAAAACCAGTTTTTCTAAAAACTTCAGGAAGGCTATTGACTTGTTCTTTCCAATTCTATCCCTTGATTTCTAAAATTTCTGATGGTTTCTCCCACTTGCCACCTATGTTTTCCACATAGGGATGAAAGGGTAAAACCAG